CACGGAATGACAAAAGACAAAAGCGTTGATCCCTAACCTATATATTGGGGTTAGATTATAAGGATATTGGAACAGAAAGTGGAAGCTACTACATGATACTAGGGTAGATCTTGGGCCTATAGAAAGGAATAGAGCCCTAGATTATAGGGTTTTGGGCTTTGGGTTTGGGGTTTAGGGTTAGGAGGGAATAAAGTAGCACATTATATGGGGACCATCTAGGAATTTAGCTATATTCCCATTTTCCCTACTTACCCCCAGACAGAACCAACCCTAGCATTTTCCATTCGACTTCCATCCGCCCCGGTACGCCTCTATTGTTTGCGTTCCTTCTTGGACCTGCCATGGGTCCGTGTTCCACCCAAAACGGCTGTGACTACTTCATGATTTTTCATCATTTCCCTCTAAGTATTGATAAAACTTTCATTTCAAAGCAATGAGCCTTAATCTCAGACCGAGGCGCGGAACCTTCAGCGGCATCCAGGGCTTTGGAGAGCCAAGGTGGAAGGGCCTGGCCGGAATCTTGAAGTGAGGCTAAGAAGCTAATAATACTCTTGTCTGTGCTGCCACCTTTGTCACTAAAATCGGCAGCCGACATGAATCAGTACTGCGGACAGGGGTACTAAACCTCTGACATGCATTACTTTTTAGCAGCTGCGACGCTTCGAGGCATGCAAAATATCCTGTATGCAGCGGCAGATGGCCCTTGCAGTAGTTTCTTTATCATATCCCACAGAAATCGCTCTAAGCCTACAATTGCCTTGGAATTGGCCTGCAAGTATGTCTTAATCCTAGACCCTCCAATGCGACTCATCCCCTCTTGCGCACAACATCCCTGAAGTTCTAGCCTCTCATCCACGAATCTTGCAATGATATATCTACCCGCACCCCGGTCCGTAAACCCTAAAGATCTCTATAGCATCGGACGTGAGTGCCTCGCTCTCCGCGAGGCCGGCCCTGGCAGGGTCCGAGGGTCGTTGTCGTGGACATTATCTGTGTTTGCAGTCCGTCGTGGGACTCAAGTTTCCAGAAATACTCCTCCTTGAAACCAAGCTGCAAAAGTGCCTTTGTGTGCGGGACATGTAAAGCAAAAACAACTCAGCTTTCCTAGGCTATAAAGACACCACGGGGCTTGTTGAATGTGGCCAAGTCCCAAGCATTCGGAGTGCGGACTGGAGAAAAAAGTATGTGTAGAGAGAGAGAGAGAGAGAGAGAGATATATATATATAGATATAAATATGGATATAGATATAGATATAGACATATCTGCGGGTTGAGCTAATCTCAAGGTCTTCTGAAAATAATTTAGGGTTGCTGTGGGTCTATAAGGGAAATGGTCGGGTGTAAGCTTGTTTTTCATAACGGCCATTCTGGGAACAGGAATTTGATCAACTAGCAAATATACTTATGATTTCATATGATTTCATGCAGCGCATCCGATGCCTCTTCAGACCATCCGGCAGGATGACAATGTCCTACATGGGCACTGAGCAACCAGCCACACCCGCAATTGGTGTGAAATGCCATAAGAAAACATCAATTACGGCTAGTCCTTTTAATCTTAACCACGGCAAATCATGGCAAATCCCACAAAACGGATCGCACCGTGGCGGAAATCATCCTTGCATAAGAGTCCGTGTGCAAGCCCAGTGCCACATTGCCAAGCGCCAGTGTCCTCCAGGTGATCTTCGAGGAGCAAGGCATTGGCAAACTCCTTGAAATCTCAGCTTAAACGCTCGGCACGCAGAATCACACCGTCATCCACACAATACTGAATTGGGCCACAGCTCCTAGACCCGCTAACAGACTGGGCGATGGCAGTTTCATGAAATGCCTTAGAAGAAGGGTCCAAACAGGTTGTACCACCCATGATCTGCACATTTCTTGGAGGATAGTGCCTGCAACGATTTCTGAAGGTCCAACATGAGACATAGTAGTAGAAACAGTAGAAACCTCTTCCGAAAACTCTAATGACTCTAATCATGAGTCTATTGACGAAACGTGCTGGAGACGCTGCATTACCTGTCGGCCTGCATTTGCTATGCGACGGTCGCATTTTGAGCTTCTCAATTCAAAGGACATCTGTTGGAGGCGAAACGTACACGCAAATCCTTCGGCCCGTGAGGGGGATCGTTTGAAACAAACGGCATCGCAGAAATGCGATCTCGGGCAATCCAGACTCCGTGTTTGCCGTAGGCAGGAGAATGTCTATTGGCATAGTTCAAGCCCTGTATTCTGCCATGCATGACAATCCCAGTGGTCCTCCGTGCTGTGCACAACCCGCGGCTGCTTTCGCGGATCTTCCAGCAGCTCCTCAGATTTTAATATCACAAACTGACACCATAATATCATCAGAGCCAGTAGTACCATGAGACTCTCGCTGTCAAGAACGTTAATGACAGCAGGGACACCATTACTGTCTCAACATGTTGCAGACACTAAAAAATACCATGGCAACATTCTTGGTTCTTGTAGAGGCGCGCTTCTTGTGGTCTCAAGTCCAAAATCTACAGCCTACAGGTCGTCTTTCAATGCAAAAACGTACTGGGGCCCTTGTAAATGCAAATTTCCCCGTCCCTCTGTAGACACAATTTACAACCAGCCAAGGTTGGGCCAACGAATCAGCATGCCTGCGAGCCTTGAAGTCCTACCGTAAACACCAGTAAGCTAAGAACTGCCTGTATTGCTACCACCAGTATTACTACGATTGTTGCTTTCATTGCTACTTAGTTACTACTTGCCGTCATCACTAAATACTGTTATTACTATTGCTTCAGAGAGTCGACGGGCCAACCCACCTCTTGCACCATCCGCCGCTCATCCTCCGAAAGCGAAGCCATGGCTGCCAGGTAGCAGAGGCAACAAGAATGATACTTAGATTAAATATGATAGTATTAAAAATACTAAAAACAAGAACAGCAATGATAGTGGCATTGAGAGTATGGGTTCTTGGAGTTGTGCTTCACTGTTTGGAGCTTTGTAGCCTTTCTTCACTCCATGGCCCTTGCATTTAACCGCTGGGATGCCAAACAGACCAACATGAACTGTGTGGCAGGGGACTTTATTGCTGGCGCCAGCTCAGATGAGTTATGCTTCATTATGTGGTCATTCAAGCAGTTACAGCTGCTTGATCAAAAGATATGGCCAGCGTTGGCTGCGTCAGTCTCATTGTCATTTTTAGCTGGGCTCTTAAAAGTTGGTCAGCACAGACTGCTCAGCGTTGTTTTGGTAGCACTTGGGGGATTGCTGCAGTCGAGCGCATGGGCACATGGGCAGCATGTCCTTAGTCGGCTTTAACGGGCTATACTTGGGCCAGTCCCATGCACTGCAGAAGCTGACGACAAGGAGTCCTAATGGCACGTCATGGCTGGGACCACCCTGGGAAGTGATTGGTTTTCCGGAACCCCGCTCTTCTAGAGCTGCCAGTCTTTTCTGCTGGTGCGCGCAGCCGGTTTCAGAAGCATGGCAGGTAAAGGCCACGCTTCACACGAAACCGTACTGCTCGCTGCCAGCACATTAGCCAGTGCTGCATCACCCTTAAGAGAGATGCAACATGCACAAAGGCCGCAAACGGAGGACTTCTCGTTTTGTGCTCACAAGTCCTCCATCAGCAAAGCCCCCCTGCGGTGCATTAGCACTTCAATGGACCCCTTGGCAACTGAAGCAGCTGCGGCGCCACAGACTCAAGCCTGGAACAGAGGTTGCTCTCAACTCCAAACTCAGCGACTCAGCGACTCAGCGACTCAGCGATAAGCTGGATGGCACCCTGAATTCTCACACTCGCTCAGCAAATTGGCTGTCAGGTCAAGCGCACCGAGCGGATCATCCTGCGCCAGGGCCATCCTGTGCCAAGACAGGTCTTTAAAATCCATGCGCTTCTCAAGCTTCTGTCAAAAGCCTCCGACAATCTTTGGGGTCGCGGGACCCCAATTTGCTGAATGCATCCCATCAAGCCTGTACAGCACTGCATGACATGCGGACGCGATCTAGACTGAATTGTCATCGTACATGCTTCAGGCAACTAAGTCAGGGCAGTCATAACTGACTTAGTGATGAGAATTCAATCGAGGTATATGTAAGGTCCGGTCAACTACACCCAACTACTTTGCTACTGCATCTACAGGGCCGTGAATTCCAAAAGCCTCCGGGGGCGCGGGCATGCTGGTTGAAGTGGCGGTAGCCTGCAGGGGAGTAGGATAGCTTGCGATGCCATGTAAGTACAAGGCAGGACCCATGAGGGGGTGTCTCCAAAGGTGGGCGGGGGCCCTTATGTGGGTCCCTTTTAAGGTTTGGGGATTACAGTACCATGAAAGGCTCATGACCACGGCAACTGCCCCGGCCGGCCTTCGCCCCAGCTGCAGCGGCTTCGCTCGGGGCTGGTGCCTCGGCATCCAGGTGCCAGCTGCTCAAATTGATCTTTCGGACTTGCAGCATCCAACGTGGCGGATAAGAAGCCGATTCAATCCGATTTAACCACACGAACCTCTCAATTTGTTCAATTCCCCTACCGACTAAGGCACCTTGGAAGCAATGCTTTCGGCACCCCCCACGAGGTGCAAGGAGGTGCAAGTGACAATACTGACCCAAAGCAGGATCGAGCGAACTTCCAAAAATGAGGGCACACCACAGTAACATACAGCAATTCTTCTAACGATTACAGAGTATTGCGATAAAACTCAGGGATTCTAATCAACAGAATCCAAAAGAGACCGCTGGTCTAGTCTGTTCCTAGTCTGCGGCCTGTGGTGCTGGCACTGCAGAGGCTTGCGCCTGCACATGGTCAGTAACGCGGAAAGAAATCAGAAACCTAACAGCTGTGGTAAAGGTTATTGCTGACTGGTGACATCATGATGAAAATTGACTGGTGAAGTGACCATCGCAGTCGGGCTACTGGAGAGCTTGGATTGTTCACCCTTAGAGTAGCAAATCATACCAAAAGGTACCAGGCATCATCCAAACAACTTCGTAGTGAAATCGCTTCATCTGTGAGGGGGAGTTACCCACATAGTCTGCTGGGCGCCGCCCTAAGGCCCTAAGGGGATGTCCCAAAGAACATAGTCTTCTTGCTGCAGGGGCTTCTGACAACAAGGATCAGCACCTGAGACACCGACTTGGGGAATGAGAAATTTGAACGCAGCTTTCAACGACATAGAGCCACAGATACACTGTCAACATGGGGATCCCATGTACTCATAGCAAGTTGCCTTGATCGTTATAAGCGAAAGAGCTGCAAGACAAGGGCCTTGCAAGTATCAAGGCTGATTGAGGCCTGTCAAGGTCTGACAACACGTGCAAATAGCCTCGTGGAAACTTGCATGGCCCTCTCAACTAATGTTTTACCTGAAGATTTCAGAGCACCTGATCCTCGACTGGATGGCGGGGATCTGCGCCTTCTGCCTCGCCGTCTGGCGAAGAAGAAGAATCATACTCTGCTGGTAGGATAGTGGGTTTTCATGCTGACAGAACAGGAGCCGCTGGAGGAGAAGCAGTAGCAGCAGCAGTGGTAGTTGTCGTTGTCACCATGCCAGTCATCATCACACACCAACTAGCATGATTGCCATTGGCGGCAACAAGGTGGCGGCATTGTTCTTAGCTGCCGTCAGCCAATGCATAGTATTGGTGTTGTTGCCATCCACACCCTGAGTCCTGTGCTTGGACTGAAGCAGCCTCAGTACCCGCAGCCGCCTCCTGACGCCCAAGTTGAAGGCCTACCACACTATTAAACCAACACTTTTGGGCCACATCCCTCGTGATGATGTGCCTTATCCTTGACTCCTTCAGTGGCTTCTCAGCTTTTTAAGAAATGAAGCAAACACGCAACACAAAATCTAAATGTCTCATTAACTAGGTTTGCCATGTACAAGTGTTTGCTAGGTATTCCTGTATTCATACTGCAACATACCAAACTCGAGTTCCTCTTTTTGGCACTATCGACAAGACACTTTGACAACACCTAGTGATCGCTGTTTGGATGCTCGATCGTCTGACCGTATGGGCGGTGGTGCCAGGGGAGCTTTGAAGAGCAGGAATAATTACTGCGGAAACCCAATTTGGCATCCCAAGCGGCCAGGTGGTTAGCAGTACTGTGATGTACTGTGTCTGTAAGAGGCCCTGCCTATGACAGAATCCCGATCTCAGGACCCAAATCCCAAACGGAAGCCCGTCAACTCCGACCAGCAGCAAACCCAAACCCCTTTGAGCCTTGATTATGCCTGCATAGCGATGTATATGTTCATGAGTGTCGTCGTGATGTCAGATACCATCAGCCTTGTGACAAGCCATCTCTCTTGCAGCCATCGGCACTCTCAGACAGGTCCTCCGAAACTGATGCCGCTGGCGGAGCCGAGGCAAGGTGCGCCTTCATCAACTGTAGAAAATAGTTTAAGTATAATTGGGTTGCGAATCTGCACAATGGAAGTGAGAGTCGGTGGTTCCCTCAAATTCTGACAACATGCTGCTGCTTGCTCCAATTGCTCACTTCTCTGCACAGTGGCTGTTTCTGGAGTCCCTCACACAAGTGCCGGTCAAGTGGCGTGGCATATCCGGTTCGACAACGCTTAGTCATAGTCCAATCAATTGATGATGCGCAGCGGAATTTTTGAGATCTGTACACCTCAAATGTCTCATGTCAGCGACATGCCAGATATGGAGTCGTCCCACTTTGGACCCAAGCCCCGTTTTGAAAGGGAAGGTGGGCCAGAATTTTCAGACATAGCTGGTCGTGCCTGGATCATTGAGGCTTTCTGCTTGGAATAGGTGGCCAACTGCCCGAACCTTTGATCCACCTGCGCAGCGATTGGCTCTTCCCAGGGTTTCAAAGCGGAAACATGTGGCATGCTTCTCTTCAAGACGGCGGCAAGTGTCTTGTGGGGAGGTTGCCTCCTTCCAAGAGCCGCATACAAACAAAAGGAACGCAATTCACCTTCAAACTCCTCATGTAGAGCCGAATATGAATATGATGTGGGCCCTTGCAGAAGTGCCCCATGAGGTCGCCTATCTTGCCCGCACCAGGCCCTGTGGCAACCACAAGCCTCCTTGCAGCTCTGAGCTACATCTGCCAGCTGAAGGAGATAGTCATGGATCACCTGAGTCGTCAAGATTCATTGCCATAGGATATGAGAGAAGCATTTATGGTTTGTAGGAACTCACATGCCATCTATGTATCTAGGTAAACCCTTGTGACTGTCTGAGCTCAAATTACAATGGAGAACCTAAACATGTGTCATGTCAAGACACACCAGGTCAGGACACTTGCTGAGGGGAAGCACTGGTATTCTCAAGGAAAAGATGTTTCGTTCACACTTCATGCTGGGTTCCCCGTAGCCTGTCAAATACCTATCCTTCTACATCAAGTGAACAAGTTGCTCCATGTGGTGCTCACCATGCAAGGTAAGTATCCAGAAAACCCTTCCATCTCCCCCCACCACCTTCATAAGTGAAAGTTCATGAAAGTTCTTGTTTGTCTTGCCGAGCCCTAACAGCAGTGCACAATTGCACACAGTAAAAAGTGAGGTGTCGATTCCATCGTCGGCAAAGGGCGGGCAGGCAAGAAAACAGACGAGCAGACGAGCAGTCAGGCAGGCAAGCAAACGGGCAAGCTCCAAATTTCGATTCCAGTCATGCGCGTCCCCGTTGATGACCGTAGCCGCAGAAGCAGTGGCCAATACCATGGCAAAGGTGATGGTGATGTCGGGTCACAATATTGACAAACACAGAAACATAACGCGTGGTTCTTGATACACCTTGATACTACTGCACGAGAAGACAGCAACATCTTAGAGAGTAGATATATGAGTAGATTGCCTAGAGTGCATTCCCAAAATGGTACCAGCAGGAACTTCAAAAACCCAGAATTATGATGGAACCCAAGGGTAGGGGCTCGCGCGACACTCTTTGGGACATTTTCAAAAAACAGAGGATTCCAGGTATGCATCCCAAAAGATCATCGAATCCTCGATATGGAGAAGCAACTCCCTGGGGCTTATGGTCTCTCTTAAGTAGATAGCATATGGGGTATATGGGGATCTTGTCATAATATGCCCAAAGCCATATTCTATCTACGTAAGGGGGACTATACACCCTAAACCCTAAAGAGTAGGTTCCATTTTATTTTCCATTATCCCCAAATAGAACTCCAATATAACCCCAATGTCCTCTACTTAAGGGGGAGCAAGTATCCCTATATAAACCTATATAACCTCAATATATCCTATCTACTTCAGGGGGACTGGTAAGTCTTTGCAAACTTTTCGTTTCGGAGAACCTCCAAGGCTTGGGCCGACAGCGGTGGCTCGCTGGGGTCCACCAGGTAATCCACCTGAGCCATAATCTAAACACCTAGTATCCCCCTGAAGAACCCCTATAATACTCCCCTAGTTCATCCCCTATGTAATCCCCCCTTAAGGAGTTTAGACTATAGCTCACCTGAGGAACCAGAAGGCCCAATAGACCTACCAAAGCACTCAGAAACGTTGGATAAGACATTGATCATTCAAAGATAATGCGTAACACTCTTGGGATCGCTATGAGTCCTTGTCGAGCAGGGGACCCCCTGTGCAGGCTGATTGCGCTTGCCGTACGTTTCTACCCCAAAATGCCAGATGGCATGCGCTGAGGGGCAAGAAAGGGCGGTCAGATAAGCGCATCACACATGTTTGTAATGAGCCCTTGGCATTCTCCATCGGTGGCAGGTGTAGCTGTACTGCCTGGAGAGTCTCCGCGGCCACAGCACTCTGAGCAAATCCGTTGCAACAACGGTCAGCCAAGAAAAACAGCAACAGCAGCGGAACTGTCCCAACCAGTTGAAGCTTGCAGGAGATACTGCTTGAATAGCTGGACTCCCTCAACTTCGCCGGCTTGGCCATATCAGTGACAATCGCCAGAGCACGAAACAGTGACCTCCCATAAGACTTCAATTTAAAGCTCAAGCAGTGTGAGAGATCAATTGGTAACAAGGGCTTTAGCCATCGGTGCGGCAGGTTCTACCAGATCTCTCAAAATACCAGCAACATCGCTATACATTCATCTGACTTCTCGGCGCACTTCAGGTTAAACGTCCGCTCGTCGCACTGCCGACAGGTTAGCCTCAGTGCTTCGCAAACAATGGTCAGAGCGTGCAACGCTTAGGCAACGCAACCTGACAGGAAGCTGTCGAAAGGTCTCACAGCATGCCCATCCCTTACAAGGAGGCATCATGGAAGCCCCAAGAGGTACCTAGCAGACTTGATTAGGGCGACTCAAGGCTTATATAGCCCTCTGCAAACTCGCGATATCAGGAACCCACAAGTATTCGTGAATCTTCCTGAGCGCCCCCACGCGCGGCCGGACTGCGGCATTTGCTGCCGCAGCTTCTCCTCCTCGGCCGCCTGTTGCGCCCTCAGCAAGCACTTGAGACGTCTGTCCAGGTTTAAACGTTTCTGACTCATCGGTCGCAAGATGCGGGAGGGCTGTATCGGCAGCCAGAAGATTCAAGTGTTTGCCAAGGGATCTGGGATTATTTTATAAGATGGGCACACGTTGATTGTATGGTGCCCGTGAAACGAGCATTTCCTGTGCCAGCGCGTTTGGCATGACGGCAGCTTCTGCTGTTCTTGTCTTGCTCATGTGTAGAATGTTTTTTGGCGCGTGCTTCCATGTGTGCTCGTGCTCTGATAATAGTCAGTTTGTTGCACATCGTACTCCTGAAGGTGGTTACAGTAGCCTCACAGTTTCTCAGCCGGCGACCAATCATGGTCTTTCACCAGCACAAGAAGCTTTGCAAGCAATCGACCAGGTGATACAATTGGTGAATACTACTTCGAGAGATATATGAGCTTTAGTTAAATTTCCTTGTATAACTTGCAGCACCAAAGCATGAACCGTTCCAGCCCCTGTATGGCGATGCCTGAGGAAGGGGGTGACGCCCAAAGCAAGGTGATTCGGAGTAAACTCTGTGTTCACGTTTCAAGCAACTACTTATCTCTCCACATTCCTCTGAGGGTGCAGCAATTGTTGGTGAATGCCCTGCAACTCCAGCTGCCTCTGCAGGAGCTGATTACAACAGTATGTTTCCAGCTTCGATAACCATGCGTGTACACGTAGACCTTGGAGGCTATGATGAACCCACAGAAAATGAGGTGAATCTAGGATTCAAGAGCAAGGTCGCAGGCGAAGGCAATTGCATCAAAAGAAAGCTACTCTTGCTTGGAGCTTCGCTTTGAGTTGAAAAGGCAGCTGCGCCCTCATGTTCAGATCACCTTACTATAGGCGCTAATCAGATCCAAACCTATCTATTGGCTTGAGACCTACAAGATGCAAAGTTTTGCCTCTGCCATTAGACCGGCACAAAGCCCTTTGAGTGACTGTTCAGGAGTCCAACCAAGCCCTATACGCGCCTCCGATCGATCTCCATCACTAGAGCTTCTTCTGTCAGCAGGCCTCAGCCGCCAGGCACGGAATCAAATCGGGCCGAGTGAGGAGCAGGAGGAGGAATTGTGACGCTGTCGGCCGTTTTGGTATGCGTAAACAAACACAAAGTTGTATGGAGAAAAGGCTTCTACCTCTCATGGCCTGTGCCAAAGGCTGCCGCGCAAAAATTGACATTGAGCCTGGAAGCTTCCATCATCATACAAAGCGGACATGAGACGCTGTTTACTGTTGGCTTGGTTCGCTCCGCACCCCAGGACCTTGATACAACTGTGAACCCGAGGAGATGCAAGGCGCAGTGAGTTTGGTCATCCATGACGTAAGCCTACATTGAGACAAAGCGGCAGGACTTCCGTCTGTTCAACCTGCGCACAAGCATATTAACACTATGGCGGGGACAGTCCAGGTTTGCTCTGCAAGCATTGGCCAAGGTTTCGGCCAGAGTTCAAGCGAGTGCGGAAGTCCTGGTTTCTGCTCGGCGGTGGCAAGTCTACTGACATCCGGGCGTCTCAAACCAGGCTAAAGCAGAATCCAAGCCGCCATCGGTAGATTCGACTCGCATGGTCCACTTAGCTGCCGCTTTAGCAAGCCCCCTCACTTTGAATTCCTGCTACGACTGTCCTCGAAGGTGAACATGCCCGCTGGACTTGCCACCTGAACTTTGAAGAACGTTGGAGCAGCGCTAGAGCGGTATGAGGGGAATACTGGCAGCAATACCTCCATTGTCTATCAATCTCCACAGAACATGCAGAACGCAGCTACACGAAAAAGTGGCGATGAGAAATACAATAAGTACAAGAAAACAAACAAAAGAGCAGGGTGCACACAGTGCCCTCACTTAAATTCCTCAATTGGATAGTGATTTGTACTCCAGTTCAATTGGAAACCTCAAGCCCAAAGTGGGATGTAGGGACCAGAAGCTCGAGGGGCTTCGGCCTCAGAAGGGGACTGCCAGAGCATGGCTTCTGCTGCTCGTTGATCCCTTGGAGACGTCACCTCCTCAGCCGCAAGCTTCAACATCTTAGTTGTGGATGCCCGAGGAAATCAAATTTGATCTAGCAGTAAGGGATCGCAGCACTATACTCTCCCCCCTGAAGCTCCCCCCTTGTCAGAGGACCCCAGCAATGCTCAAGAATCACGTCGGCTGCGTGCATCAAGTAGCTTCAGATTACAGCTGCTCCATCTCATAGCCAAGCGATCATCGGTGCAGAACACCTGCTAATTACCATGACCAGTTGAAGGATGGCAGCGGAAATGAGACAGCACTCCTCCGATGCTGACCCAGCAACTATGCATACCTTGCATACCTTTGTGCTGAAAAGTTGGGCACTTCGACGTGCTCCGAGTAAGAGAGAATGTCAAAAACTGAATCATCTTCATTCCCTACCACGACCCCCGTATATCCCGTATGCAAACCCTGGCTGAACTTGGGATCGAACTTGGATGCGGAGGAACTCCTCGCGAGATAGCACGCCGTCCCGGTTGCGGTCTAGCTGGTCGAAGAGCGCCTGCGCAGAGCCTAAAGCACTTTGAGTTATGTTCCTGAGAGTTCTGAAGGGTCTACAATCTAGCTCATGGTTTAACATGCTCTCAGAAATACCGTATATTACCGTATGTTTTAGGGAATGGGCCTTGAAGTCCAGTGAGATTTGCAACATGTTTGGGAACTGCAGGTGCTGCTGCGGTGGCTGCAGCTGCAGCAGTCGATAACCATAGAGCTATAATGAGCATGAACCTCACAAAGCCTCTCTGTGTCACACCGATGACATAGTGACGGATATCTTGAATGCGCATACACGAGTTCTCACGCATGTAACTCGAACTTGTGAAAACAAGACAGCCGCAATTCCGAGTTCTATGGTAAAGCCACGTTCGTATGGCCCCACCTCAGGCGGCTGCTGCAGTGCAGCTGCTGGCAGTGTAGGCGGGCCAGGAAAATGACCTCAGAAATAAGAGTTGCAGGTTTAGGGGCTTGGGAGTCAGCATTTAGGGTCTGTGACTTGGGTTTGGGGAATTCTGAAGTTTGGGGGTGTGTGTCTTGGGCTTACCCCAACCACCTGCGTGGATTCACAATCCTTCCCCAGCACACGCCCAGCTGATTTTGATTTTTTTCCCTAACAACAGCTTGAGTGGAAGTAACCAGGATCAGTAGGGTCAGGGGCGCATTATGCATAGCCAATGGGGCTCTTCCTTAAGACCATTTAAGACGGTGATTCGGAATCGTGGCCCTCTTGCCAAAAAATTCGACCAAAGAACTTTTCGTCGCTTCTCAGGTGTACACTGAGCAGAAACTTGAAGCCCTAGCCCAGAAGGGACCTCCTCAAGTCCAGCGAACCTCCCTCTATTCTGCTTTAGGAATGGCGGTATAGGGGTCGAACGAGGTAGATGACAAATGGGAACTCAGCTGCGTACTGGGTGCAGCTGCAAGAGCCGGCGCCTCAGTATTTAGGATTTCTCGATTCTGGTTTCATTTTGCGGCGTGTTCTGGCAGCGATGGATGGGGGTCTGGGGCCTTGTGGTTTCTTGAAGTCATGGGTGTCCCTTCTAGGGTCCTGTGAAATGACAAATGGGTTCACATGAGTGCAGGTTGGGAAGCAAACCCTCCTTTGCCCGTACTTGATCTTACTAGCATTGCTACCACGGCCTATGCCTGCTTAATACAGGTCAGATTATCACTGACCCAGCAGCCTTCAAGTATCTCGCTGATGGCTGGTGAATAACGAAGAGCCTCCGCAACATGCAGCTAGCATTTACAGTAGTACTGGTATGGCTGCGTCTCAGCAAAAAGGCCTCCGATTCTACTCCAAAGGTCACTGGATCGTTAGCAACAGGCTGCCTAGAACTGGCATACCAATTATATTTCGAAAGTACTGTCTCTCTCCCACTCGCAACTAGTCTCTATTATTCCACCATGCCAAATTTCTTGGTCTTAAGAAGCCAATGATTTCTGAATGCCTCAAGCAAGCCCCAAGCCAGGTTCCCCAACTTTGTAGAATGCGCACTTGGGCACAGAACCACATTGACATGGTCCCTGTGCAATCCGTGTATGAATGACCTTTCTCTCGTCCCTTTGCAATCCCCTTCTCGATGGAACTTGCGGAGTCCAGTGTGGCCTCCATGTTGGTTCCCTGACATTCTCCTCGTGCACTTGCTTTCTTCCACTGTTGCGGCATGGTCTCTATGTTGCCCAAAAACTCCGCATACCTTCTCAAATTTAGGAATCATGATGGAAAAGAATGTGGGGCTATGCAGCACGAGCCACGTAAGGTGAAGGCCCAGCAGCAAATGGGCCAGGGGCCTCCCAGTCATGAAACTCTGCGTATGCCACACACACGCATAACACGCACCCTCACTGACATCTCCCCCAGAATGGACCCCGTATAAGAACTAATGAAGGCTTACTTTGGCATCACATTTGATAACGCTTGCCTAAGCATGCCTATAGGCATTCTTGTGGGGAGGGCGTAGCAAAGAAGCGGGGCAACATAGTATGCGGCATCGACTGAAGGAAAAAGAAGTCTCTGACTACGCCTCGATGGTGACGACTATTCGCATTTTTCCTTAGAGTAGTAAATGCTACTGTATGACTAGACTAGACTAGCATTGCCAGCATTGCAATGGCCATTCAGCGTGCTCAGGATAGTCCGTACCAGCACTGTCAAAATGTAGCAGTTGCCTGAATGGCTAGCTCAGTTGGGGGCTTCAACCTGCTTTGTAAAAGACCTTCGCAAAAGGAAAGTCTCCAATGAAAGGGTTTCAGCCTCAAACCTCCCCTTCAGCACTCCTCGAAATTGGTTGTTGCAAGAATGGGGGGGCAGCATTGTCTCTCTCCACCGTCTGTTCGCACAACAGGAGAAAACTTTCTCTCCCGTGATGTAACAATGCAGAGTTTTCTGAAAAGACGCAGACAATCGGCATCCTACCAAGCCACATTTTCGAACCATGGCAGTGCTTCTTTGCCCCTGCCCTTCAAGAATTATGATGCCGACCTCCCCAAACAAAATCAGGAACCTCTTGCTGTAATGTCTAAGTGGTCTGCAATGTGGACCAAACGAAACTCGGGAGAACTCCTCCGATGCTAAGCCCTGTACGTCTCTATACTCGACGCCCCAATGTCCTGTAATATATACATATATATATATGTATATAAAAAGCGACCATCCATTGGTTGCAACCCCAAGGGCACATTGCCAACATGAACTTCTGACTCGCCTGTGCAGCAGCCATTGCAGGAGCGATGCCAGCCTCAGACTCCGCGGTGCTGCGGAAGCTTCTGCCTACTGTACTACTCCTGCAGTGAAAGAAACGAAATGGGTCGCCCCCATAATTAGGATCCTTTTGGTGGGTTCCCAGAATAAGGAGGACCACAACATATTGGGGTCACCCTATTTTGGGAAACTGCGAAGTAGTCAGCGCAGTGATTGTCACCCTCCATCATCGCAGCAGTAGAGAGCGCCACAGCAGCAGCGGCAAATGACAGCAAGGAGCAGCGCGTCCCCCCCCTCTCCTCCCACACCTCCTCCTCCTCCTCCTCCTCCTCCTACTCCTCCTCCTGCTGCTGCTGCTGCTGCTGCCGCCGCCGACGCTGCCATTTCGCTTGTCTACTACATGTCTGTGTCTGCGCCAGAGGCAGTATTAGCATGGCTGACATGACCAAACCGACAATTGACGCTTACCGTTTTGTTTTGTAAACGGTTGCGCCGGCCTGCTGATAGGCAGCGACGGGGCGCGAAGCCTGAGCCAGATCAGAACAGGCACCCTTGCCGCAGAACACTTCCGCACGTCCCAGCCCGACTTCAGGTCCTGTGGGGAGTTGCAGTCATGCAAAGCATTCGAAGCTTTGCTGTGCGCCTCTGGCATGACTGCAGCTAGAGCTGGTGCCAGCGGAGCCTTGCCACGTTGCAGCTCACCATCTGTCCTCAACAACACCTTCCCTCGAGGCCCGCCTGAATCCGAACCGTCGCCATCTGTGGTGGGGCCAGGTCCTCGTGAGCACAACATGTCACGGTCACGGTGCAGCTCATGCAAGCAGGAATTCGCTTGTCACAGCTTCTGCGGGCAGCGCGGTAGCTTTTCGGTGGCACGTGCCAATGGAGGTATGGTCCGCTGCATGCAGTCGTAAAACTTCAAACACACAGAACTGTTCAGTCTTGAGACAGCGCTGGGCAAATCCAGTTCTCTGAACACTCTACAAGGGTTGCGCAAGGACAGGCAAGGACCCATCTTTGTCCATGCCGAACCCTGCACCTGGAGAGCCGTGACTAGTCTCAGCTGTGTTGTGGCCTTCGCCCAGGTAAAAGGACAAGGGGATATGAAGGGCTGGGAGGCAGGTGGGGGCTGGGATCTTCGTGGATTCAGCAGCCTCGCCACCCGACTGGAAGATGCCGCATTGGAGCGACATTGAACTATGCACCTCTTGGAATGAGGCCAAAACCAGCCTCTGCGGCTGGAGCCCCCTGAAAACAGAAGCTGGCGAAGGGCTAAAAGGTATTCTGAACTGTATGTCGCGGACCCATAAACACTCAACAGAAAACGTGCAGTACTATAGCTATGCATGAATTGCACTCGGCGCTCCCTTTGTACGGGAGGCCAGGTGTTTCACATAAACGTGGGCCGTCCCACAGCGAAATCGAACCATCCAAGTCCTCACATTTGGCCACAGCCACACGTCGGCTTCTTGGATGCGCCGGAGTTGAACGTCGTAAGCAAGTCCTGCAAGCAAAAAGAGGATTGGGCTTGATTGGTCTGGCTCTGGCAAGCTACAGTAACCTTAGGAGTCTCCTGTGCTGTGGGTCGCAGCCGGAAATCCTCCTGCCATGCCGAGACCATTACCGGTCGGAGCTGGGCATAGCAGTCGGATGGCGTAGGTCGGGGTTTCTTTCCCCGAGTGAATTCATCAAGGATGACCTGTGAGCAGCCAAGGCAAACAATGCTCAACTCTCCGGGTTGTTAGACGTGCTGTTGGAATTTGCAACATCCGATTCCGAGCAATGCACCTTGGGATCAGCGCCACGCTGGTGGAAGGGCATCCGCCCCGAACTCATGAAGTACATTATGAGCCCGAAAGCGTAAATGTCCACCTTCTCATTGTAGTGCTCGTGTCGCGCCATTTCAGGCGCCATATACCTCCATGTGCCAAGACCTCCTGTCATTTTGAACCCGTCCATGACCTCCCTTGTGGCCCGTCTACTGCTTCCCAAGTCCCCGACTTTGAGCTGCAGGCAGCCCGTCAAAAAGAGGTTCATAGGCTTCAAGTCTCGGTGAATCACAGGCACGTCGCGGTTGTGCAGGAAGCTAAGGGCCCTTGCTATGGCTGAACACCATTCCAGCACATCCTTCAAGCAGGGGCGCCAGATGGCACCATCTCGCCTCTTGCGCTGCAAAAAATAGAACCTCAGCTGCCCCAGAAACGCCCATGGTCCCGAGATCGCAGCATCTGACATGTCGGACCGGCGCCTTGCTATGAGTACGGCCTAGAAAGTTCTGCACTAAATACGGGCCCCGGAGCCGATCCAGGTCGCCATGAGGCAGGAACTCCGTGACACACATCACAGGTTGGTGCTTCTCCTGCCAGCTGGGTATTTTGTTGTAGAAAGTGGTGAGCACTCGATCTTTCCTTTGCTATGATTGAGACCTAAGCAGTGGGAAGCATGAGCTCGCACTCCTTAACATTCGGCTTCTGCAGGCGGGCTAATCCCTAGAGTCCCTAGAGAAGGCGTTCTGAAACTGTTGATGAAGATGCTGACTTCTCTTTCAACTCAAGATCTCGGAGCCTAACAGAGCGTTTCAGAACCCTGAATTTTAGCCGTTACGCAAAATTCGAAATATACATCCTACGCAAGCCCTACACCCTTTAAGCCCAACAGCATGAAACCCACAACGGAAATCCTAAACTCTGCGCTCCCAATCCCATGTTTCAGAGGCTCCAGGCAGGCACCCAAGAACATGACCAAGTCCGGATGCCGGAGCTGCGAGAGCATCTGGATTTCCTGCAGGAGATCCTCCCAGGGAGCTTTCCGTGGCTGCTGTTGGCTTGGCTTTGGGAGTGTCTTGCTAAAAAGTCCTATGATTTCTTCGATGTTTCTGAAAGCATCTTGGAAGGTCTTGGGATTGGGGCTTTGACTTTGCTGACTTGCGGGCTCCTTGTCAGAGTTGACACGTTGAGAATAAGAAGCCAAAACTATAAAATGAATTAATTCGTTCCATTAACCATCCAAGAACCCCAGGCATCTCAAGTTGTCGTTTTGTGTTTGAGCTCCTGCACCATGCTGTCTGAAGCTCCCTGCGCCTCAAGCGTTTCAGCCTGAGACTCAGATTTGCGCATTCGTTCCGACATCTCCCGGGCGTGAAGCCCGGCACACTTGACCACGACCGCGGTGCCCTTCCAGTCAGCCATGTACAAGGTGCTATGTAAAGTGCGGCTGAGCTCCTTCCCGATCTCCAGGTCCTCGCGCCGGATCTTCCAGTCAGAGTCACGTGCGCGCAGTGCAAGCCGCCGCTGCTGGGCACTGTCCGGGCCCAGCTTACGCATACTCGATGTGACCGCAGTGGGTGGTAGGAAATGCAAGTCTGGCACTATCTGGGAGTTGGGAGTGCAGTCCAGCGTTGACACAGCATCTTGTTCATCCATAGATGCGGAAGACCAGCCCTTCACCGGGGTTGAGTCCTTCTGCCAAGCTGCCACATCCTCAACGGCACACGGGCTCATGGTTCGGAAATCGCTCCGAGGTCCTATCTATATCAGCCTTGGACACACCTTCAGGACACATCGACCGTAGAGTTCAGGAGGTTGCACAAACCAGGCAGATGCTTATTGGATTTGGGATTCAATGAGCAGCACACTGCAAGCCCTGCCTGAGGCCGTGCCATGGACGCAGCGGCAGCCTTCAAATGACAGGTGCAAAGTCCATCGTTGCTTGTTGGCCGAGTTTGATACGGTACTCAGGTACTCTCCCTGACCCTCAAACGTAAGTTACTCGGCTCGGAACAAGCTGTCAACTGCATTCTGGAGGCACGCTGCTTTGCAGGATCTCTAGAACTAACCTTCTTGCGAAGGATGGACATGCGTGCTGCCGTGTAGCCTCGTCTTCTTGAGCCACTTATCCGAATCCCCTGCTCACGTAGATGCAGCGCCGTGCCTGACACGGTCCTGATGCCGGCCGGCCAGGTGAGCTCTCGCCGACCTCCCGACAAAAACAAAACAAGACTGCAATAATCGCATGACCAACTGATGGAGTTGCACTATAAATAGGCAATAGCGATTTACGGCTATCATCCGGACTATGATCGCAGCTCCACGCTGAATGGTGAGGCATTTGCACCGGTGGCCTGGAACACGGTCGGAGGAGCTGTGTGCCGGCGAAACTGGCAGCAGATAATTAGCAAGGGGATGACAGTAGGCTTGAAGAGCAACTCTGACTCAGCTACTGCGGCGGAGATATGACGTTGACTGCGCTCTCAGAGGTAAATCACGGGATCAATTACAACACCAAACGAGGCCTGCGCAAGGCCAACGCGTTGCTGCCAAAGAAATACACCTAACGAAGGAACTGCTGGCTGACCAATCAGGCCAATTGCCCCATCCGAAATCATCTCGATAAAAGCAATCATCGGACTAGTAAATTCCTGTCACAACTCAGTGGACCTTCCATAGGCTGACCCATGTTTGCCGCACCGTTCAGGCAATGCGCCTAACGCTCTACCTACACAACCCCTGAATCACCTTCTGGAACTCTCTCTTCAACTTCTTAACACTGCGAAACCCCCTCTTAGAATTTTCATTTAAATCTCACGCAGGCACCCAAACCCATCCTCCTCCGCCGCCGGCTTTGCGGCGAAGGATGCCATGGCCGCCTGCAGGCAACATTTCCCTTAAATGAAGCGCTCAGGCTGAGGGTGTCAGGTGTAGGCGGGAAATGGACAATCCTCTAAACCTGCCTGCCACTTTACATTCGCATAATACGCCGCCGCACCAGCGACGGCATTCGTGTGAGAAGCGGTTGGGGTCACAACTGGTCTCTGGCCAAATTCGAAATTGCCAGGCCTACCTGGGCAAGAAATTGTAATACAAGTAGCAGCAGAAGCATGCTGAGCAGTAGCAGCTCACATTACAGTCCCTCCTCAAGTGTACATTTGACGGACAAGTGAAGAGCAAGCAACATCGATCCATAGCACACATTCTCACACTCTTGCGACCACGGTTCCTTTGAACAATTTTGGCGTTGTCTTAAAAGGAAACCGTCTAAGATTAAGACTTGAAGGCTCAACCAAAGCCTGGCTGAGTACAGGGCAGTCACAAACGCTATCCAATTCGAAGCGCATGATCACCATAATCATCGTCATCATCAAGGTCATCGCTGAATCATGGTATCGAATGGCTTCGGAAACACGGCACCCCCAAACCCCCAAGTGGCCTCCGCAGCGCCAGGATGAAGCACCTGGTTGGCCTGTGCGGCAACGCAGGCCGCCACGCTGGGAGGCCGCGCTTCCTGGTTCTCGCGTTCAAGCGGTGGCGGTGGTGGCGGCGGTGTCCGTGGCGGCCGTGGCGGTAGCGCTAGCGTTCAGAAGTAGTAGCAATTGTTGAGAGGATTTGGCGGGAAGCTCCGTGTCCGGAGCTCAGCATTTTAGGGGTGTCTTGTTCGGAAACTTTGGGGCCTATTTGGATAGGATATCGATTTAGGATCCTTGGGATCGGCGAAGGTGGAACATATGAGCTGTAGTCTAAACTTCTGGTATCCCCCTTAGCAACCCCGGTAATCCAGCGACAGCATTGTATAAGAAATCATTGGTTTAAGAAATAGAGCCCCTCGGCGGCCGCGCCTAAAAATATATGATGAAAATACAGGGCAAATGGAAATTAAGAAATCAAGCGTACGCTGACCTCGCGGGAGACAATTTCTTAATTT